ATTTCAACAGAAATTCAAGAATTCACTAATTCACAGATATCCTTTGGTGGGTGCAAGTATTCTTAAACTCAAATTATATTAGTTGAAGCCAAGTCAACATGAAATGCATGAATTTTCAAGGTAGCATAGTCGGCACTCTCCTCTTGCCCATGGGAAAGTGTTATCAAGCTTGTTCCACTATGTAATGCAATCGATATGGAATAAATGACCACAATTAATTTTTCCATTTCTTCACCATCAAAATACTCATCCTAAGACACACGGACCCAAAAAAGTAGGCTTAAATCAAACTTAAGTATGTTTTCAAACTTGAGGGGAGAAAGGATTCTGAAATTTAGGTTCCCCTTACCAAACATATGCAACAGTGCTCCTTGTTGTCGGGACATATTGAATTGTCTGTCTCATAGTTATGTAAACTAATGTTTAAATAAAGATCTCTTTCCTTGAATAGAGCATAAGCAATTCTTATACTTCATAGATTTCAAATAAGGTCTAAAAGATTACAGAAAAACATTATGTGGATATCATTCATTCAAGGAAGATTCAAATAGGTTGTATCAAATACTATAAAAGATTATGTTGTATCAACACTAACTTATAGGTTATCAGATCCAATGGTTGATATTGACTTTTTCTTATTTTCGATTTCAGTGGCTTCAAGAAAATTCCCGAAGTCAAGTTTCAGTCAAATTAGTTAATAATTAATTGATTTGACAGACTGTTTTTAGGTCAATGATAAGTAGAAATTGGCAGGAACTAGAATATATATTTCAGTAGCAATAAATACTTCTTGCATTTGTTGCTATTGAACTATTTATTCTAGTTTCTATCTCTTTTCTACTTATCATTTACGTAAAAAACTGTCAGTTAAAATGATTAATTATTAACTAATTTGAATTAAACTTGACTTCTGAGATTTTCATAAAGTCATCAAATCAAAAATAAGAAAAAGGCTATACAATGATTGGATGGGATGAGAATGTAAACCGTAACAGTTAATTATTTCAGTATATTGATTTTTAAAAAAAATAAGTTCAATGAAAGCAAACCAATAATTCTACAGAACTTATAGTCAACTGCATCCAAAAGAAAAAAGAACTGATAGATAAACGTATCAAACATTAAAGGATCTTCTTCATCCAATATATACTTATGTTGTAAAGTGAGAAAAACTTGTTTGTACAGATAGTTAGGTTGATCTGATGAATGACTATCGTTGAACCATCTCAATATGTACATAATTTTGACACCATTTTGACGTGTGATTAATGAAAGATTCGGGTTTATCAAGAGAATGATGCTAGACTTCCAAAACTCTTGTCTATTTGATAGTCTACTTGTATAAGCTGAGTTATAGATCATATGAATTAGAAATAGCAAGTACCCCGTGGAATTAGTCGAAGTGCACTCAACAATCTGATCCATACACCACTTGAATAAAAATGAGCTGGACCTAAAACTTGGGAGAGGCAGAACTTATATTGGGGGACAATTAATTACTAGAGATGTGTATAATTGTTGAACAGCTTAATCCTAATTACGTGTTGAAACATATAGTATGATTTTACTGTTACTCCTTCTCATGACCTTTAATATCTTAATTGTGTTGTGTATTCTTCTCCGGACTTCAGGTCAGGTCTGAAGCATTGTGGATGTGATTAAGTCGAACAAGCAAACGACCAGAGAGCGTAAAATCTGAAGACTTTTATTCGCATAGAAGGGAATTGCTCGGGGAGGAAAATGAGCAAGAAAAAGAAGTGTTTCACCAAGTATGTTTAACATAAGATTGTTTCTCAAGAATGAGTGGTAGATCCGTTTATCATTAAACATGTCTTTCGCATTATCAGGCTTATCATTTTGAAAATTTTATAGGCTGGTGAAATATTGGGTATAGCAATAAAAATATTCAAGGCAGATTTCTTGCCCCTCTTCGACGAGCTCTTAGCATATTTAATGCCTATGTTGGTAAGCAGAAGGATGGGGGGCAGGGGTAACGTGTTTCTACTTTAACTTCATTTTATTACCTTTACTCAGAGGCTCTATCAAGGCTCAATTTTTTTTAAGGCTCAACGTTGTTCAATAGGCGACAGAGCAGACTGGTAGAAGGATGATTACCCTGTTGAGGCAGCTTCAGCAAACAGTGCCACCAGTCTCCCTGGCTTCAACATGGTCATTCATGCAGCCTCAGCAACGTGCAGTTAACACTGCAAGTCTGTAACCATTACTATCATTGTGGAAGCGAACAACTTTTCTCCGATGCAATGACCCTATCAGACCTGTAGTGAATCAAGTACTCCCATTTTTATAAATGTCATTCATTTGACTGAGTCTATGTGCCAGTCTGCTGTAGGTTTTAGAGGCATTTACAAAGAGTGTTAACATGTAATTGTTACTAGTAATTGTCTCTAAAAAACATATTTCTAATGTTTAAAAATCGAATGACATACTTTTCCTTTTAGTCTTCTTACAAAAAGAATGAGTCATTTTTTTTTTTTGCAAAAGAATTTCAGTTTTCTGTGTGCTATGTTTGAGGTCATGAGATTAAAGGGCATTTTGATACATTTGACATAACTTTAATTTAGCATCACAAAACTGAAAAGTCTTCTTTATGTTCTTAAATTTTGTGTCAGTCATACTATGTCATTTTTTTAAAATCGGAGGAAGTACTTAGCGGCAATTAAGTTATTGTTGTTAATTAAAGAACTTTTTTACTATAGTGTTGTAAAATTACACTAGCACTAGGTATGTTATTGTGTCAAAACGATTTCACGTTTGCAATACGTCAAATTAAAATTTTAAAAAAAATGACAAAGCAGAAGACTAAGAAAAATGGCGAAGCAAAAGGAGGAAGAAGAAGATGAAGAACACCGAAGAAGAAGACCCAAAAGCAAGCAACCATTTCTTTGGATAATAAGGCCGAATGGCCATATTATGTAATTCAAAAATATGGTAAATAAAGTTTATGAGCGGATATTTTGCATAATTTTCCCTACATACGGCTAATTCTTGACTCATTAGTAGTGTCTAGGTAAAGAAGAACCTAACTTTAGACCCCAAAGGATAAAACAAGGGAGAAATAATTGAAAAATGAAGAACAAAGGGTAGCTATGATATATTCGTGTATGGATTAAATTTTACAAGATTTTCATAACTTATTACTCACTCTGTTCCAAATTACTTGTCCATTTTTGAATTGACACACCTATTAAGAAAACAATAATTGATATAGTGAGTTTACCATTTTACCCATATTAATTATGAAGTTGATAAATTAAAAACTAGTTCTACCATTTTCAAAGTAATTAATTGAGGATATAATGGGTAAAAAAAAATTGTCCTTTCTTGATTTGACAAAATGGATAAGTAATTAGGAACAACTAAAAAAGAAAATCTGGACAATTAAATAGGGACAGAGGGAGTAATATTTTAATGAAGATATTAGGACTCATTTGGCCATAGATTGGGGGGGTGGGGGGGTGAGATTTGACAAATATTGTTTGTCCATACGACTTATCACTATTCAAATAATCTAAATTCTCAAATGCTAGAAAAAAATTAGTATTTGGGTCAAACTAAATTGGGAACTTTTTAAAATGAGTGAAGTGTCAAAAACACATACTATGTTCTTTATTTGAGTTTTCATACCTAAATTATAGAGAGTATGAGTTCTATATCTAAACTATCTCCCATTAGTTTGAGAAACACATATATCTTTTACTACACTCTCTTGATGGTCTGTACTACACTCTCTTTTTATTTTAAAAAAAATATCACATGACACTCTACATGGATAAAATATTCTACCTTGATAAAAATAAATAAATTATTAGTATTAGATAAAAGTTAAAGATTAAAGTACCACAATTCTAAAAAAAATAAAATTAAAATAATTTTTTACCTGACTGCACCACCTCCTCCCACCGTACCCCCACCCTTTTTTTCAAAAAAAAAAATCTTTTATGAAAGCTTTAAAAATATTCTTATTTCATCCACCCCTCCAAAAAATAACTTATATTATTTTTATTGAAAAAGGAATAATTCCTACCCATCCCACCTAAACCTCTGCTTCAAAAAAAATCTTATTTTGTGTTAGATATCTACATATATTTTTAAAAATTCATATTAATTGTGTTCGTTGTCATAAATTTTCACATTATTCATTATAAATTTATAATACAATTTATGGATATTTTTAATAGTTTTTAGAACTTATGGATATAAATCATATATCTTTAAAAAGTTAAATATTTCTTCCAAAATCTATGATCAACGCATAGTGAAACTTCACCCAAAAATAATTTGTCAAAAATATTAGAGAATCTATGGTCAAACACTTGCTAAGCCTAGCTATTATTATATTAGGTAGCATTTATCCAATCTATTAGGGACGTTTCGACCCTTTTTCATTTGTTATTTGACATGAAATAAAGATATCAAATCCAATACATAGATTTATATCTAAGAAGAATAGATCACAAATTTATTTGCTGAAAAGTATAATCAGATTTCAAAATAACTAATTAAAGGATTTGCCTAATAATTTCAAAAACTTCACTTTCAAAATGCATCTTTACCAAAAGGAATGGAATCCGCGGAATGAGATACTCTGTCTCATTTTATATGATATAGTTTGAATTTTGAGAGTTAAATAAGAAAAATTTTATCGTGATTTATTCCTATGCCCCTTAAACATTTTAATTTTTAATTCTTATGACTTATAGTACCTTTTATTTCATTTTTAAATATGTAAAAAAAAACACAAAGATTGTATGTCCAAATTTACGGTCAAAATAAAAAAGTTTGACTCTCAAAATTTAGATTATGTGATTCGGGTTATGTTTTATTTAGTTTCTAAATATGTAAAAAAAAACACAGATTGTATGTCCAAATTTACGGTCAAAATAAAAAAAAAGTTTGACTCTCAAAATTTGAATTATCCCATATGATTTGGGATAGAGGAAGTGACACTTTTTGCATTCAAGTTTTTAATCTCAGAAAAAATGTCATCATTTGAAGCGTCTATTAACTCCAACGTTGTGAAAAAACTTAAAGCACTTATAGTAGATGATGACACTATAACTCGAATGATCCTCAAAGCACTTCTAATGAAATTTGGTGTGGAAACTCATGAGGCGAAAAATGGCCAAGAAGCGATTCTTGCTCATCACTCCGGTGCATGCTTTGATTTGATTTTGATGGATTTATATATGCAAGTAATGAATGGTCGTCAAGTATGTTTCTATAAATCGTAATTTAATTTTTATTTGAACATCTTAATTTTTTACCTATAATTCAAGTAAGAAATATTTTTTATTATGCAGGCAATTAAGGAACTTCGAGATATGCATGTTTGTAGCTTGATTGCAGGGATGACTTCCCAAGAAAAAGAAGAAAGAGAAGAAATCATTCATGGATGCTAGCCTTGATTATTATTATCAGAAGCCGCTTACTATTCATATACAATTCGCGATCTTGTTGAGAAAATTAAGGGAAATGCTTAAGTCTATCAAAAGTATTTGGTTTGATCCATATGTTAATCTATTGAGAGATTAAGAAAATAAGTCAGATGATTAATGTATGTATACCATACTTACAATTACTAATAAATTTGTTTTGGTAAAATAAAAGGTTTTTTGCTTTTCAAATTGAGGAACAGTGTAATATAAACACAAGTTACAAATCTTAGTTTTTCTGCTTTTTGTCTTTTGTCTTGCTCATTACCTCGTCTAACCCTGAGGGGTAGCTCAGCTGGTAAAGGCCTGGGACAAAGTCCTTCAGGTCGCCGGTTCGAGCCCCAGCAGGGCCACTGGAGGCATTACAAACCGGCCGCGTCTCCAGGGCCCCGTGGAACTAACCGTGGTGGACCCGCCTTGAAACAGCGGGACCCGGTGGGTACAGCTAGTCGGGTTCGCAAAGCGACGCCCGGAAACCACGGTTAAAAAAAAAAAAAAAAAAAAAACCTCGTCTCAACTTGGGCTTGACTTATTGTTGTTTGTTACAAACACAAACACGAATATAATTAGGCACATTCTTTAATTAACATTTTAATTTTTGTCATAAAAATATTTTTTAAGGTAACACATTAGTTTGCAAAAGGGCAAGTAGTGATTTTACGAAAATTGCCTTCAAAATCTCTTAAAGACCTTGTGGCTTTTGTAGAAACTATTTTGGGTGAGTTGATCTAGAATAAATCTCGCAATTGAAAACAAGCTACAAATACAATACAATACAACACAAAACATAATATGATCCACATGAGTTGCTAAGTTAGAATTTTCGAGGAAAAGATGTTAATTGACTCCTTTTGGACAAGAGTAGATTCGCCTCTCTAATCGAAATTAACACTAGTAAATATAACATAAGGATCAATTTATTCGTAATAGTATTTAAAAAAATAAAAGGGGGAAGAGAAGGAAAAGGAAATAGAAGCAAGTACTTATAACCAACTACAAAATTGAGAAATCAAATACAACTCACAAGAGCATAGAGCCCCATTAATAGGGACCTGCTCTTTAACTAGCATCCCTTTGGGAACGCCACATGGAAGGAAGATAGAAAGGTAACCAATGACACCAAAGAAATACGTTTTTTTGTTCCGCGTGTATTCATGAACAACAGAAAAGAAATGAAAGAAAAAACAAAGAAAGGGATATCAATTCTCGAACTCCAATCCAGAGTCTTTAAACTTGAGAAGTGTTGTTTGATTAATTCGATCTTCCATTTCAAGATTCAAGTAATTCTTCCAATCGCCAACAATCCCTTTCCTGAAATAACTACCATTCGGAACTCCGTAAATAACAGAGCCATTTTTATTCACTTCCAAGTTCCTCAATCTCTCCAAACTACACCTCCACACAACTTTTTCCAAATCCTCTTCCTTCTCAAATGGCTTCCCAAGAAACAACCCCAGTTTCCTCACCTGCTCTTTCGGATCTTTTATCATCTCTTCGTATTTCAAGAGCAGTATCTTCTCAGGCCTTTTCTGACTTTCTGACCAATAACCCAACACATTTTCAAAATACGGACCATATTGATGAACCCCTGTGCAAAACTCATCAACCGCCTTTTCCAGGGGATAAGGTTCTTGATTTCCCCTGAAAATGGAATTGAAAAAATGCCATAGAGAGACCAATGTGTCCTTTGGGTTCCGGGCTACGCAAACAATTTTGCAGTTGGAATTCATGATGGAATTTGGAAGAAGATTGAAAGGTAAATGTGTGTGGAGAAGTCTTGGAGATGGCGTGGAATACAGATCAGGAGTTGGTTTTGTGGAGTAAATGGAGGATTCAATGGTCTGAACATGAAATTGTGGATTGTCTTGAGTTAACAGATCTTCGTTTTCCGGTATGTTATGATTCTGGTGCAAGATACAGAGACAGAGGGCTTTGAGCCAAGTCGTACCGGTCTTTGGGGCTGATGCTAATAAAACATCATCGTTTCCAGCTTGGAAGGAGGAACTAAATTTCATGGCACATTTGATTAGGCCGGGCTCGAACCAGAACCCTTTCCATTTTCTAATCTCCATGGCATCCCAGAACAGAGCACTTGGCAGCTCGTTTATTAGAGCAGCATCCTTTTCCTCTGATGACTGCGAAGAATCGATGATATTGGAGTTTGATTCTTGAGCAGCCATCAGTTGGAGTGAAGAACAGAGATAGATTGATTGGGTAACACCTAAATATATATATATATATATATATATATATATATATATATATAGAATGGCTGCTGCAAAAATGAAGACTTTGGATTCCCTGATTAACGCAGAAATATTTGTTTATCATCCGTAAGGAGAAATTATTTAGCTAGTTTGTACGAGTCAATATGATTTCTGGTTACTGCATTGATAACTGTTAACCAAAGACGAGGCTACGATTTCAACTTTATGGGTTCTAACTTTATAATGATGATTTTAAATGATAATAATTGAGTTAAAAAAATTTACTAAATTCGACTGAACCGGCATACAGGCAACTAGCTCTGCCCCTAGGTCTAACCAATGAGGTTACAGATAAAGAGAAAAAAGATGCTGTAACCCAGCATCTGCGCCGCGTATGGGGGTTAGGCATGGAATACAAATACAATATATGTAAAAGTTAACTTTACGTACTGACAGTTTAAAGGTTATGAAAGCATATTACTATTATAATATCAGTATGAGAAATATCTCATGTTAGGTTTGGGCACAGAGAGATTGTTTTTATAAGCCATGAGCAGATTTTTTTATTGTTAACTCTGTACGAGTCAAATTTAACTTTCCAATGCTACATTGAAAGGTGTCTTTCATTGTGCACCTGTACCAGCATGTCTACACTAAGGGCGTGTTTGGTATGAAGGAAAATATTTTTCAAATTTTTTTTTTCAATTTTCTTATGTTTGATTGGGTTAAATATTTTGAAAAATATTTTTCAAATCAACTTATTTTCCTCAAATTTAAGGAAAATGACTTCCCATGGGAAAACATTTTCCAAACCTCTCTTCTAACTTCAAATTACAATTATTTTTTTATTGAAAAAATCAATTTATTTTGTCTCTACCCTCAAACCAGCCCCCCAACCACCCCTTCCCCCCAAAAAAATAATTTTAAAGCTTGTTTTTAAATTAAATTTTTTTACCCCACCTTCACCCCTACCCCCACCCCCTCCCATAAAAATATTAAAAATTATTTTTAAAAGATATTTCCAATTTCAATTTTTTATTTTTTTACCCCCACCCACTACCCTCGCCCCCCATCTGCCCCCCTATCAGCCCCCAACCCCCTTCAAAAAAAAAAGTTTGCTTTTAAAAAATATTTTCAACTTCAAATTTTTATTTTTTCATCCTGATCATCGATCACCCACCCCCCCTCCCCGGCCACCCCCCCAAAAACAAATTGAGTTTGTTTTTAAAAAATATTTTCAACTTCAAAATTTCAGTTTTTCACCATACCCTCACCCCCTCCCCCACCCACCTCCTAACCAGCCCCCACCCCCACCCCTACCACCCCCCCCCAAAAAAAATTAAGTTTGTTTTTAAAAAATATTTTCAATTTCAAAATTTCATTTTTTCACCCCTACCCTCGACCCCCCACGCACCCACGCCTACCAGCCCCCCCCACCCACCATCAAAAAATAATTTTTAAGTTTGTTTTTCAAAAATATTTTCAATTTCAAAATTTAATTTTTTTCACCCCTACCCACCCCCAAAAAAAAATTTAAGTTCGTTTTTAAAAAATACTTTCAACTTCAAAAAATTATTTTTTCACCCCAACCCTCAACCCCCCCCACCCATCCCCCACCCCACCCACCCCCCTACCAGGCCCCACCCCCAAAAAAATTTAACTTTGTTTTTAAAAAATATTTTCAATTTCGAAAATTATTTTCTACTCTAGTTAAAATAAAAGATATTTCTCAAAAATATTTTTTATTCATAAATCAAATACTAAAAATCTTTTTCGAAAAATATTTACTATTCATCAACCAAACATGAGAAAATAAGTTAAAAATCAACTTATTTTCCAGGAAAACATTTTCCTTCATACCAAACACACCCTAAGAGTTAGATCTATAAAATAAAAGATCCGGTAAATAACTAGCATCTCCATCTATGGCGCACCGGGGGTGGGGGCGGGACATACAATTTACAGTTCAAGGAGACTTAAAAAATAACTACACCACCCCCTGTTTTTGCATTCGATTCGGTTTAGGTTTATGAGTTCATATCTTCAAAAATTGAATCTGAAAATTTTCCTGTCATACACTTGGATACAAGGGAGGTAGATACATTATTTATAGAGTATAAATACTGTATAAAGATTTATAAACGTTGTTGCCAAAAAATGTTGGCTGTGTGTGTAAGCTAACAATGTAGCTTATGTAAGTTCTGTACTAAGTCAAAGGATTGATGGATTGATGGGATAACATTCAGGCAGAACCACACCGCCCCAAGTCAAATTAACCGTACCTGCTGGACTGGTCTGGTTATATTAAAGACTCTGCCACATCCAGACATGTTGCTCTGTCCTGATAAAATGAAAATGTTCTTGACTATTGAAGTACAACCATTTGTTACATTCGCAGTGGACAGCATCAAAAACAGAAGGGGGACATTGTTTTGTAGATCATGGATCAAAACTTGGGAAATCAAAGTCTTCCTTACACAACAGACTCCTGGAAAGCAAGAGATGTTAACTTGTTAACTAGCACATAATTAAAGCAAGCTAATTAAATTGTTAGCACAGTATAACTGTATCATATGTTATTTTAATAACTCACTCGCATTTCTATTTGCTTTTGTTTTTATTGGCTGTATATATGTGTAAACACTCCCTAGTTTACAATTATCTAAACCCTATTTTACCTAGTCAATCTCCACAGAGTTCCAGAAAACCCAATTACTTAAGAACTATTGTAGGAAAACAAATGGTGCTTTAGATGTTTTAAAGAAATATTTTCCTGTTTTCATAATGCTAGTCTGGATAGTTATATGGTCATAAATAGCTCTGAACGAAAGTGAAAGAAGACATTTGAAAACAATTCTTTTTTGTTGCCATATCCTAGAAATCATTCCAAAAGATACTGAAATGGAAACCTTGGAGTACTAGGAAGTAGGCATAACTACTTTGTAGATTTCTTCAACAGCCTTTGGATGATTAAAATCTGCCAAAAACGCGACAAGAACAAAAAACTATAAGAGAAGCAAGATTTAGGATTAAGGAGACTGGCTGTTTTCCCAGAGTTCTGCTTTCAAAGTAAATAAGAAAGAAGGAGAAAGATCAGCCTCAAAACCTTACCCTTAGGCTGAAATTAGAATAGATTCAGAAAGGCAGTCATTTAGGGAGCTTTACATGTCTTGTGGACACCCCTTGCGATCAGAGACTATCTTTGGTACAAATGCCTCTAATATAGTACCTGATGAAGATGAGATTCTTCTTAGCTTATTCTGGAGGGAGCTCACTGTTTTACAGGTAATTATCAACCCCAGCATATCTTTCTACCGTTAGGGCTCGTTTGGTGTGAGGGATTAGAAATAATAGTGATGGGATAAGGAAATAGTGATGGGATAAAAAAAAAATTATGTTGTTTGGTTGGCAAGTCCGGGATAACTTATCCCGGGATTAATAATTAGTACCGGGATAAGTTATCCCTCCCCATGGGTGGTATAGTAATCCCGGGATAACTTATCCCGAGATAGAATAGGTAAATGACAAATATGTCCCTTTAAATCCTTTTTATATATCATTTTTTACATTTATGTATATTTACATTTTTTTTAATACCATGTATAATAATATTTACTACTCCTTATTTTTATGATAATTATACATATTTTTCTATTAAAAAATTATACTATATAAATATAATTTTTATTTATGAATTTATTTGACTAATTCTTATGTTTATTTTATTTTGATTTCTCATAAATTTTCTTCTCTTTAATAAACTTAAGAGGAAAGTTCTATTTTTAAGCTAAATAAGAAAAAAGTTATATTTTTAAATACACATGGTACTTATCATGGGAATACATAAACAAAAATATTTAAGTTAAAAAAAATAAAAGTTTTATTTTAAAAAATGAATAACTAAAGCTCACAAAGAAAAATTTAAAAAGTTTAAATAAAGTGAAGGGTAATTTTGTAAACAAACAACTTGTTCTTAAAATTTATCAATATATATTATTTTGAATATAACAAACCAAACACTCAATAAGAAATAATCCCAGGACAACTTATCCCATCATAACTAATCCCAACATAACTTATCCCAACATAACTTATCCCATCATAACTCATATTCAAACCAAACGACCCCTTAGTCTGATGGGAAGATAGGTATGCTCAATAAGTGCCTGCAAACATATCTGAGATATGTCGCATGCAAGCAACCCAATGACCGGACTAGATAGTTATTTGGTACTTAGAAGCTTTTTATTTACCAAAGTAAGAAATCTGTACATCAAAATGCGACTGGACAGAAAGCCCCAGCTTGCACCAAATCAAACTATCAATCATGCAGAGTAGAAATCTAAGGACTTAAAAGCTCCAGCTAACTGTGGCTTAGCTCCTCTGGAATGGACTTCTTGGACCACTTGTCTGGTGTATATTTATGGTACAACAATTTCTGAAGCATTGTATATGGTGTTCAAGAAATAGAGAGCATCTCAATGTGTAAAAAATCAAAAATACTTTGTAAGGTCCACACAAATCATGTCAACTCCTTAAATAACATCTCAACAAGGGCAAAAGTGAAAAGTAATTATGAAAAATTCCCAAGTATAAAAATGTATCGATCTTTATGCCAAGGGAAAAAAAAGAAGGAAATTGTGCTGAACAAATAATACCTGATTTAGTAGCTAATGCTAAATAACATGGCCAGTGGTTTGCTTGGAGACTGGAGATGTTATTCAAAGTATATAGTCTTTCGGTCATGACCAACTGTTGAGATGAATACTTTAGATGAGAATATAGAAGAATTGGTCTTTTGACCATATGGCCATTTTACCATTTGACCATGTGGTCTCTATCCTATGCATGACAAAAATCAGCAAACCTATTAAAAACATGTCCGCATACGAGTTGGCTGCAGTTTCGAATTCTCAATGTAATTCACAACTGAGATACACCAAGGGTAAGGTCATTAACTGTCTCATATAAAGATGTATTTCTGAAGCTGCATGGCGAATCTATGTATGATCTGCAAGAGTAGATGATGTTTGACGTGTAGTGAGGAGTGGCGACAGAGATTAATTGCAGGAATGAATTCGAGTTCTCTTCCACATCTTATCATGGCCCTTACAAGATTGCACTTTACATTGGCAAAACCCAATATCTCTTTGCTGAAACCAATTGGAGCTGCTTCTTTTGAGAACAAGAACATGGTCACATTTAAGGAGTTATTGCTTTTTGACAAAACAATCATGATTTACACTTTTACTCAGTTAGATGAGCCAATTCTTCTTCAAGAAGCAATTGATTTCTCATCACCCTAGTAGACACTGAAATTCCTGAACCCATTTCACCAATAATCTCCACAAGAACAGATGCCATCTTTGAAATGATGATAGCGATTGACATCTCTGATAGTGATTTCTCTCTCTGTTAACTTTGAGATAAACTTGATTGCAACATGACAGTCCTCGCAAACTCGGAGGTTCTTGGTGATCAACAGCTTTGTCCCTGGGGGTGTACTAATTAGTCCAAAAGCAATCGCTAGCCTTTCACTGTGGCTGCACACCATTCTGCTCTTCTCGTCATCTTCCACATCATGGAAAACAGGCATAATGTTTGGGACATAGCCAGCCTGTACCATTCGTGCTCCTAAGCTCTGTAGCTCTGCATAAATCTCGTCAGACATAGGATGAGATGTATCCCCAGAGAGAAATGCATGTACTTTGTTTTTAACTTCAATCCAACTATACGCGGTGGTTTTCTTTACACCTCTTTCGTTCATTAGTTCTCTAAGCTTTGCAACACCTTCCCATCTACCTGCTTGGGCATAAATATTTGAAAGGATCACATAATTGCCTGCATCATCAGGCTCAAGCTCAATCAACCTCTCTAATGCCAATTCTGCAAATTCCACATAACCATGGATTTTACATGAATTAAGAAATGCACCCCAGACACCAGCATCCGGCATAACTTTCATCTGCGTTATAAGTCCATAAGCCTCATCTAAGCGACCAGAATGACCTAGGAGATCAACCATGCATGTAGTGTGCTGAATAGTTGGTTCAATTCCATAATCTTTTGCCATTGAGTCAAAATACATCCTCCCTTCACTCAACAGACCTCCATGATTACAAGCTGATAAAACACCTACAAAAGTTATATGATCCGGCTTAGCTTTGCCAACCATCTCATTAAACAGGCCAAGTGCTGCATTAGCATGACCATGCATTGCATATCCAGTGATCATAGCATTCCAAGAAACAACTCTTTTCTCCTGGAGTCCTTCGAACAAAATCCTAGCAACTTTCACAGACCCACTCTTGGCATACATATCCACAAGTGCTGTCTTCACTTTGTCAAGAGAGTCAAAACCCTGTCTCCAACTATACCCATGAAGCTCCCTTCCCTGTCGAAGAGCTGCAACATCAGCAGAAGCAGAAATTGCAGTCACCAAGGTCGCCTCTGTGGGTCTAACACCTCCACATGCCATTTCACCACATAACGACAAACAATCCTCAGGGTGACCATTTTGCGAGTAAGCAGCAAGCATTGAATTCCAAACAACTACATCCCTCTCAACGACATCCTCAAACACCTCCCTCGACCTACCAACACAACCACATTTAGCATACATATCAATAAGAGCAGCACCCACGAAAACATCCTTATCCCACTTCGTTCTCTTGGCATATTCATGTATATCCTTCCCCACTTCAATCGCAGACAAGGCCGAGCACGCTTTAAGTACAAACGGAAAAGTAAAATTATCAGGCACATGCCCATAATCAATCATTTGATAATACAGAGAAATTGCAGCCTCGTACGGTCCATTCCAAGCATACCCACGAATCAAAACATTCCAAAGAAAAATATTTCCTTTAGGAATTCTATCAAACAGGTGATGGGCATTCGGCAATTTGTCACAAACGCAATAAAGATTAACAAGCTTTGTTGCTAAATTGATGTTGTAGCCTAAACCCGTGAGGCATAGATGCGCATGGAGCTGCTTTCCAGGCTCAACTGCTTTTCGACCAATGCAAGATTGGAGAAGAGAAGCATAATGTTGAGTTGGATTTTGTGAATACTTCAAGTGTTGATGAAAGTGACGAATTTGAACGATTGTGTGCTTACGAGCCAACCAACTTGTAGTAATTGATATCATTTGAATATGTTCGCTACGAGGAAAAAGGAAGAAGCAGTGGGTAGGTTGCTGTAGCGTACAAGATCATCATTCACACCGTTGAGTAATATAACACCTCCATATTGATCGTTACATCACCCATCCTAAAGTGAAACTTTGAGTCTTAGAACGTCATCTTAACTAGTGAAGTAATCAAACTATGATCACTAATATGTGATGACATCTATAAACATCCTACAATTTGAATAATTTAATCGAATGAAATATTTCTTTACCAGGTGTCAAAACTTTTCATCACAGATTCTCGTATTTTTAACCATATTAACAATTTCATCATATATATCTAGTGACCTAGAAGTGAATTATTCAGATAAAATAAATGGTTTTAAAAGACAAAATTCAGATGGTATGCATAATTACCTGCCATTAAAAATATTTATGAAATGAAAAATACGTATAAGTAAACTTAGAGGTTAACATGGATTGTTACTCCAAGAAGATTACAAGCAAATCAAAACAAAATTATTAAATATATAAAATCTTTTAATATAATATACAAGATCAAACATCATCAAAATGTTTTAAATTAGTACTATCATACAATGCCATGCCAACTATTCATCAATCACATTCAGGCTATTTGTTGAAGTCAAAATTGAAAAAACTAAAGAAGACAAAAAAGAGTCTAAGAGTTTAACTAAAATAATATAGCACTCAAATAAGAAGATCGCCTAATTGTAGATATACATGTTACAATTTTGACAAGATCCGAGTTTTGTAAGAACAGAAATAGAGTGAATTCCAAATTTCAATAGAAGAAAAGAAACATTATAGGCTAACATCCAACATAAAACCAATCTTATAGTGGAGTAGGTTACTAGAAAAATCATAATTTATATGTTAATTCAAATAAGTATTTGTCTTTATGCCACACTTATATTTTCATCTTGCTATGACTATGTAGTGGGTAATAAACAAAATGGAGTTGCTCGGATGGTAAGACTCACTTTCAACTTGAAGGTTGTGAACACAATTTAGCAAGGGACAAAAAGGTGGAAGCTCTTAGAGAGAAATTTATAAAATTAAAAAAAATAGTGGTCAACAGGTGCATATCTAGTCCTTCATTTCTGATTTTTTTTTGTGTGTAGCTAATTGTTTCATCCTCTTTTTTTAAAGCAATTACAAAAAGAAGAAAAATTGACATTAACGGTTGGTTCCACTTGTTTATGTTAAAAAAATTTCTTTTTTTTTTACCACATTATGACTGCAGAATTAAAGACATATTTTTTGCTTGTTGGAATGATGCAGAACTTTGCGTCACCAAGACTATAATAACTTAAAGCATGGACCTCCTTAACCTTATACAAACATTAAAAAAAATTGTCATCTCCAAAAAGTCATTGAAACCACAATTAAGAAACCTAAATCCAAGCATTCGTTCTATTATTTTGCGAAAAAAGAAAAAAAAATATACCTCAAGAACGGAAAAATACTTCGTTTTAAACTTTTCGACAGACTTGTGACAAAAGAAATTAGAAGGTCTCGTCTTGCAGGCAACACCAGCAACGAAAATTAGGAACAAAATTGTGTGAGTTGGGTACATTCTGAATCTAATTGGCAGACTGCATAAGGGTTTTAGATCAGTAAGGGTAAAGATAATGAAAGCAACACTGTTTGTTAAAGTGAGAGGATAAATACTAGATGTGAGAATAGTTTACATTTTATATAAAATGAATTTAATCACTTTCTATAAACAAGCATAATCTCCTTGAGGTGTAAAGAGGGAGTCAGACATTGAAAAAAGAATCAGATTCAAGACATATCAGAATTCAGAGCCTCTGAACAATGTGAATCATTGATTTCCAATTTAGAACATCAGATGCCACTATATGTCCCCTATAAAACATTAATTTAGCATATATTACTCTTAAAATACAGAAGAGTCATCTAGCCACAATAACATTAGAGAAACAGATGTTGAAAATTCCGAGATGCAGCTCCAGTCACAAAGCTGCATCTCTACCAAATCCATTGCTAAGATGGTAACAAATTGTCAAATGGGTATTCAACTTCTAGTAGAATCACTGTCTTGGCTTTGGAACTGCTCTAATATTAGGTTACAATTGTTAATTGTACGCGCATCAACAAGGCCATGGTTCCACAGCTTCATCATGAATAATCTCCAACACCTGCTGTATTAAATATTAGACGATACATAAAAGCTACACTAATGATGAGCAACATTAGAGTATATGACAGCATGATACTGTAGATGGTGAGCAATTATCACGTATTGAGATAAACCCAAATCAGCAATCTGAAGTAAGACCAGTCTATCATTAAATGTCTAGACGTTTGCTGAAAGTACTATTACTGCTTCGTCAGATCCGAGAAAACATGCATTTATGTGACGCCAACAATAAATTTGCTAACCACTTTGCTATATTGTTATACACTAAGTAAAGATAAATGAGCCACCCCAAAAAAGTAAATAAGACAAACTCAGAAATTCCAAAAAAAGCACTGTGATCGACCAACTCTCCAATACATATTATTAGGGGCCGTTTGGTGTGAGGGATAAAATTATATAGTGATAGGTTAAGAAAATAGTGTTGGGATAGAAATTTTCTATCTTGTTTGGTTGCCATGTTTGGGATAACTTGTCCCGCCATTTAAATGATGGTGATGGGATAAGTTATCCTAGGATAGCTAACCCCAGGATAACTACTCCTGAGATAACTTGTTCCCAACCAAACGACCCCTTAGTGTTCACTGTTCAACAGAAAAGAGAGTACCTTCTTTCTGGAAAATATACAGGATCTTGGATGCACCAAGCAAAGGCACAATACAGGTGTATGGATTGGATAGCATCACATATAGATGACAGATCTTGACATAGGTAAATAAAAAGATTAATTACCACAACGAGGCTGGTGCTTGGGCAAACATCTGACCATGCAGCTTTGAAAAGGCCTCACATGCCCAAGGGATGTGACCATCTGCCATCACCCTGCCACAGTGACAAGAAATGTTATACCAAGAAGGGAATTCAGTAACAGCACTTTTCCAACACGCATCACTTTACTATTATTTATCACCTGCATGTATGTAAATCAGCAAGAGAAAATCCACACATGTCGCCCTTTATTGCATAATATAATAATGTGTTTTGCTCTATATAGCATGTATCAGATAATCTTACCCATCTGCTTGAGCATGACATGAAGCAGGAAGAAAGACACAACCAACTTCGTAACAATTTATATTAGTGAGAGGTCCGTGTAGCTTAATAAGAACAGAGAAAGCAAGTTACGTGCTTCCCAAAACCCTTAAATGGCACAACATTTTCATGAAATGTCTATTTCAAAGCATCAGATCAAGGACAGCCTTTTCTTCTTTTTTTGATAAGGTAACATTTGTAGTGATTCCAAAGACAGAGATGCCATAATCACAAGCTACATCCAGATTTAGCTAGCAAAAATATCTAAAGAGACTCTAGAAACTGTTATAGAGTACCTGTATCTATTATATACTTTTGGTAACACCAAAAATGCAAAAATTGAATACAACTATGCTTCATCTTCTGGATGGGGTTGTTTTGTTGTCAAAACATCTTGAGTTCCTTTACTTCCAAATAGGCCACCACCATATGCAGCCTGGAATCATTTTCCTTCCAGGATGGCCTTTTCTTTTGCAATGAACTCTTCTTTTGTTTTTGTTTTTGTTTTTGTTTTTGATTTTCCTATAAAGGTACAAGGTGATGTCACTCTTGTATTGAAACTAGCAAAGCTAGCTCAATCGCAACAAATGGCATCTACTCACTAAATAATACTCCTTTTGTCCCAATTTATGTGAAGGAGTTTGACTGAGTTAAGAATGAAAGGAAGATTTTTGAAACTTGTGGTCTAAAGAAGCCATAAATATTTGTGTGGCTACTGGCTATAACTCATCTCACTGGAGGTAAAATGAGAACTATAAAGTTAAACTGTTACTAAATATAGAAATGTGTCATTCTTTTTTAGACTAACTAAAAAAAAGGAAAGAGTGTCACATAAATTGGGATGGAGGGAGAACGTTTTTGGTTACATATAGCAGAAATGTAGTGGAAGGGAGAAGTGGACTGGTCCATCTACTTCACCTGGAACAGGTTGTCAAAGAAGAAAATGAGATTTACATTTGTAACATTCCATGTATTTCCAGGAAAAGTTGGAGAAGCTAATAGCAGAGAGTTGCACTTTTACTACATTCCTAGGTAACCCACCATCTATTACTTCATCAGACCTCCCGCTTCACCCTACCGAAAATAAGAGCAGAAGATGCACATATCTCCATACCACAGTATCCTTAAATCTTAATAATATTAGGGAAAACCATATTAGAAAATAAAACCAGACACGAAATAAGACAGTACCTTTGCTTTCTAACAAATGAGTTCCACAGATGCATCATTTGCTTTTCATCTTTGGTCACATCCACAAAATCATCAAGCATCTGTAACATGTCTAAAGTTAGTTGAATGAATTCTTCAGATATCTAAGACAATCAAAATCTTGCCCCTTCAATTGACTAAATTTTGCAGCAGTTCTGAAGGGGAATTAGTTGGAGGGAACAGTTCGGATCACAACCTTTAGTAGTTCTCAAATGTATTCTTTTAAAGCAGCTTAAGGAGTTTCACGGTTCTGCGTAATTTCATGTTGAAACTACACAGTTCCTTAAGTGTCAAGCAAGTATTTGGTAGAAAATATTTATCATCAAGTTTGAACCATACATCAGAGCACTTCCCCTAGTTGTTTCCAGAGGTCAATATTCATCCAAACCCTTCAAAATACCATTTTTGTATGAATAGATAGCAATCTGCAATCTTTATTAACTGCTTAGACCTTCTTTTCTTTTTTTTGAGAATAATGTTTAGACCTTTGGTTTTAGTTGAGCAATGAAATTTACCACTTATCAAAATGTTACGCCATTAAAATTTACAGGAGATTATGAATCCAAGCACACAACTGTTAAGAAAATTACAA